CTCTCACCACCCTAACACATAGGGTGGTGAATATGCATATTTAGATAAGCACCTGGATAAGTCATAATATGGAAAAAGCAAATGGCAAGTGATTTGAGCGACACGTGGTGGCAAAATTTACCACATGACTGTGCACATTACCCCGTATAAATAGTGAGTCGCCAAGCTTCGGAAAGAAACAAAAAAAGATACATAGATTCAAAACAAGTACAGTATACTAGTAAGTAATAATAGGGAAGTAAAGACTAAGGGTCGATAATAAGGTGAGTAATATTATACCTTGAGTCACCATAATATATTTTACGAATGTTTTGAGTTACCATGAATTATTTTATATAATTTATGTTTTATGATTATATTAATGTTTCAATTACGTTGATTATTTTCTGAACTTTATTTGCTTAAATTGAAACCCATGGATATATTTGTTTAAATTTTAGAAAATATTTGACAATGATTTTATAAACATTTGTTTTGAATAAATACCACCACAGAGGTCCCATGCCTTAGGGGACTTAAATAATTACTGGCCCTCTGAATTGTCACTTTAGTGACCCTCTGACAGTCGCATACCTTGGGGGACTTAAATAACCTTTGACCCTTTGATTAGTCACTTCGTGATCTTCTGTCTGTCACGGATCCATTGACCTTCTGTTCTGTTCAGTACCGTGATTATAATTATTTTGTTTATATGATTTTGTGTTATATGTCTGTTATTAAAAATAATTTATTCGAACCAAACTATTCATCATTTAGTGTAAATAATTATCCATGGTGATTTTATATCCTCATGCTCTCAGTGTAATATTTCTCACTCTGTCGTGTGCTTATAGCTGTTAAAACCCCTTTCAGGTGAAGAAATTTAAAGAATGATGATTTTACCCTATGGATCAGAACCTCAAATTTGATATGGATATCATTTATTTTTTCTTGTAATCATTATCTGACTGATGTTATATCGTTACATAAATAATAATTTCTATGTACGCTTTAGATATTTATCTATATTTTTTATTTTAATCCGCTGCATTAGTTAATTTAATTACTTGGAATTAATCTAAGAAATTTTAAAATTTGCTAGTTGCGAATCTAGCCTTGGTCACTGGAATGGATCATGACAGAGATTCGTCGGGTGGTGCTCTCTCTTCTTCCATTTCGAATCGCTATCACCACCATTGTCCTCTTCCTCTCCACTTGTCTTCCATCGCCAAATCCAAAACCACAACCAACGCTCTCTCACTCTCTCTCCAAATGCATTTTGTTGCTACTTTAGTGGTTCTGTTGTTATTGATGATGATGACGACAGAGAAAGATCACCATTTGGAAAATCTATTATAATTCTTAGGATTATATACCACATTTAAACCGATAAGAATGGTTTTGTGGGACCCCATTCTCACATTTCTATAGTACGACATCACATAACACAACAACAAACCTATTATTATTATTCTTCTTCTTCTTCTTCTTCTTCTTCTTCTTCTTCTTCTATGTTATATATGTTTAGATCCAGATCCATTGATTTTATATATGTTGTATTTGTTCATGAGTTTGATCTTTTGTTGTTTTGATTATGTTTGATTTGACAAATATATATATATATATATATATAGAGAGAGAGAGTAGGTTCAACAGATAGATACAAAAATTGAATAGATAGGTCAACAAAATTGAACAGATAAAAAAAGATTTGAACAGATAGAAAAAAATTGAACAAGATTTGAATAGATAAAAAAAGATTTGAATAGATAAAAAAATATTTTGACATTTAGAATAAAAAATTGAATAGATAGTTTAATAAAAAATTGAATAGATAGTTGAAAATTTAAATAAATAAAAAAATATATTTGAACAGATAGTCAAAAAAATTTAACAGATAGTCAAAAAAATTTAACAGATAGATATGGGGTAAAATGGGAAAAAATGTTTTCCAAAACAATAAAAGTATTTCTCACCAAATTATTTCACAAATGATAAATCTCTTACCAACAAAAAATATCCATTAAATTTAATACCTTAGGCAATTGATAGATTAAATTTTTTAACAATTTTCTCTTATATAAAATATTTTTAAGATCAAATAAAAATAAAATTAAAATTTTTATGTCATTTGTAATTAAAGGGAAGCCATTCACGGGTGAAACAATCAGTCAATCAATCCAACCTACCTAATCGGGGGAGTTGGTGGTGGTGGGTGTGGGGACATATTTTCTGAATACCAACACGTGGCATGGTGACGCCGACGTGTCAGCCGAGGTGCCACGTGCCCTGGTAGTGAAGCCGATGTAATCTCGGAGAAGCCGAGGTCATCTCCGAAGATGTCGGAATCCGAAGATAAGGGACAAGAGTCCTGAAGCAAAGAGGGGACTTAATTAAGATAAGGATAAACCTCTTAGGGAGTTTATCTCTATCTCCTAAAGAGTCCAGAGTAAGTACTAAGATTGGGGTACATAGAAGTCATATTTCTAGTTGAACTTGGATTAAGTATATTATAAAAGATAGGCACCCCCGTGGGTCTAAGGTATGTAATTCATACTTTGAGTATTCAGTTTAATACTTGATTATCCTTGAGAAACATACTGACTTGATCGTCGGAGTGCCCCCGGGTGGAAGAACCACCGCCGGAGCTTTTCCTTTCTGTTACAGGTTGTTGGTGCCATCTATTCTGCCGGTGCTTAGCTGCTGATCACTAAACGGGCAGTGTGGTCAGATTTTTACCCACGGGAATTGGTGGTGGTTGTATTGTATTATACAAGCAGCGAACCTTCCCTAAAAGGTTCTTATTAACGAGAGAGAGAGAGATATGTCGATTTGATTACATTATTATACTCTTTCTTTTTGCTTTTTCTTTTTTATTAACTCTCCAAAGTCAACAATAAGGTTATAATATACTCCATATCACAAGGTGCTTGGGACGCTGATTAGAGCTGCTGTGGGTTGTTCGGTGCATATTGTATTCTCTGTTTTCTTCTTTTATTTGCTTTTTTGGTTTGATCAATGGGTTGCACCTGATATGAGTGTGTCAACCTAGTTATGATGTCTCATGAATTATTGAATTTATTTTATTTTATAAACAAACGGACCAGTTGAATTGAGGTGGTCGTCAAATTAATTAGATCATTAATATTAAAATTTATATGAGTAAAAATTACGTATCTTGAAAAAATTAGACATTTCTTCTCAAAAAATTAAATATCAAATGTGATTTTAAAAATAAATATTTTAATTTTTTACGACAAAATGTGATTAGATCATGTGATTACGAATGTTAAATTAATTTTATTTTCTACATAAATTATCTGTTTAGTAGACTCTACAAAGGTGTTACTTGAAATAGTTTCGAGCTGCTTATAACTTTTTTATAAATTTGTGTCAATTTATTTAGTGTAAATTTCTCTTATAACTTAAGAAGTAGAAATTGCTCAAATAAATTAAAAAAACTTAATAAAAAGTTTTAGGAAGAGTGCTTTTAGTTTTTATTTTGAGATTATCGACTTTCAAGTTTTTTAAAAAAAAAATGTTACAATAAACAGACTCAAAAAATATTTAAATCCTTTCAACGAGGCTGAAATGGATCCCACCAAATGACACGGTAGAATTTTATCCACAGTATTTAGAAATTTATCCAAAAATATCAATAGAAGATAAAAGATAATTTTAATCTTTAAAGTATACGTTTTTTTTTTTTTATCATTTTAGTCTTTTAAATTTTAGTTGCCATTTTGATTTTTAAAATTAACAATTTGAGTAAATTTAGTCCTATCTCTAACATCCGTTTACATTGTTAACCGAATTTTTTTTAAACTTTGAATAAAAGACAATTTTGGTTTTTAAAGTATACATTTTGTCATTTTATTCCATCAAGTTTTAAATTTTGTTATTTTAGTCCTATAAATTGTCAATTTGAATTAGGACCAAATTGACTCAAATTGACAAATTTAAGGATCAAAATGACAAAATTTAAAACTTAAGAGGCTAAAATAATAAAAAAATGTATACTTCAATAACCAAAACTCTCTTTATCCATATTCATGTTACCAATGTAGATGGACGTTAGACTTAGGATCAAATTGATAATTTTGATGATTAAAATGACAAAATTAAAACTTAAGGATTAAAATGAAAAACAACGCATAGTTTATGAATTAAAACTGTCTTTTATCCTATTAATGAATGATCAATATTTAATCAATACATAGACCTTGCAACACACCGTGAAATCTCAACCCTGCATTCCTAATCTGGCTTATTTTCTTGACCCAAATTTTCGTCACATAGGCTTTTCCATAAACACATTATAAAAAATTAAAGTTTTAGAAACCAAAATTTAAGAACAAAATTATTTTTTAGAGACTAAATAATTTTGTTATAAAAAGTGTTGTCATTATATTTTTAGCAAAAAAAATTAGACATTAGTGATGAATTATTATCCTTTTGGACCAAATTTTTTATCTCAAAAAATAAATTATTTTGAGACCAAATTATTTTATCCCTAAAAGTCTATTTATTAGTGACATTTTTAAAATTTTGTCGCTAAAAGCTTTGTTTTTAACTTTTTGGAACGACCTTTTAGCGACTATACTCATGACAATAGAAATTGGTCCCTAAATGTCTTTTGTAACCAAATTTTTATTTTTAAAGACCAAAAAATTTGATCTATACAAATATTATATATTGTAGTGACAATCGCTAATACATCCTCAATAATGAAGGGTGATACCATATTTATTTAGCTGACAAGTCTATTGAACCTTGTAAATTCCAACCTAGCTTAAGATCCGATTAGGGCAGAGCTACTATTATGTATCTGACACAAATCATACATTATATATTATCTAGGGAAGCTTGAACAAATAAATAAATAAATAAATAAAATAAAATTTATCTAGGGACGCCTTCACTGAGAATTCAACCCAACTAAATATATAAATTATATAGATGCCAGCTTGCAATACTTGGGTCACTAGTGTCTACGTATATGCATTTCCTTCTATATATACCTATAGTTTCATACTCCCTAATTCAATCACAACACAGCACTTTCAACCATTTTTCTGGTTCTTTGCCTTTTCCTTGTCTGATTAACAATGGCTATGAAAGCTATGCTCTTGATGTTGGCATGTTTGCTTTTAGTCACTGGAAGGGTAAGTCCCATGAGCCCCCATGACACAACCACACACCCACACTCACATGCAATACACAGCTCACTAGGGTGGGAGGAGGTCCTACTCTCTCACACATGCAACACTCACAATACCCTGTATGTATCTACCTAGTCATCACAGGGTCGGCCTGGCCCAGCCCGCAAAATTGGTTTCCAAGCCTGCTTGGCGAATGTTTTTTATTCCTGGTCCAAACTCGTCCAGTGGACTAGATCTTGACAGGTTAGTGGGCTAGGGCCATTACTAAGCCCATGAGCCAAGATTTTGCATAGTTTTTTTTTTTTTTTTTTTTTTTTTTTTTTTTTTTTTTTGGTGTTAGTGAGCCACACCGACAGGCCACCTACCCTAAACCTGAAAAACCGAGGTGGTTGGGTTAGGTTTCATGCATTTGGATCAAATGATAACTTCTGTTTCAATGCATGGTGCTATAACTTGGTTGTTCAAAGCTTTTGTACACAACTCACTAATAGGTCAATGATTTAACTTGTATGTTTAGCCTTTTAGAAGATGAGGTTGGATTAATAACACATAGATACTATAAAAATGATGTTTTGGTTATGATAAAATAACATGGGTTTAGTAGTTCACGGATTTACAAATCCCCTCAAAGAATGAAATTAGTATTCTTATTGGGGGTTGGGATTGAAGGTAAATACTATTTTGTTCATAGTTTACAAAAATAACAAAATTATCTTTTATATAATGAGAATTTTTACGTAATCACCATAGTAATACACAAGCATACATATTTCGTGCTCATTTTTATGATATTGTTATTGAAAACTCACTAATGTATTTTCCTTTGAATTGCAGGTTTCATCAACAGAAGAGGTAACAGAGGAAATTTCAAAATAGTATCTATTTATGTTATGATCCATTTGTAAATGATATATATTGCTATTGCATGTGTTACTTATACAATACTTATTTGATACCGTTTTTTAAAACCATGATCATGTGCTCAAATTATTTTACAAGAACAATGTTTTCACCATTGGATTGAGCTATAATTAAAAATTTGATGTGAAATGTTTTTATTAATTTTTTTTTTTTTTTTTTGCAGCATCATCATGATTATAAAGCTCATGCACCAGCAGCAGGAAAGCATCATGAACATCACCATGAACACCATCATGATCATGATCATGAACATCATCATCCTCATCATGTCCATCACCATCATGCCGAAGCTCCAAAGCCACCAAAGGCTCATGGTAATACTGTTTCTTAACATTAAGAGAGAGAACTCTAAATTCATTTCAGCTTTTTAGATCATATATTCATATATTAAAGCAATCTCCCCCAATTTTTTTTTAAAAAAATGTTAAAGTGTAATTTGGAAGTAGCTACATCTTCAGTTTCAATGGTTGCGCACAGTGACAAAGGATTTTAATTAAGAAAAGACAAATTATAGGGTTAGGTTAACTTAGTTTGAGTTTGTTTGGTAAAAGGATCAATTATCAATATTTCGAAACTTTTTAAAAAATTATACATATTATCACTGTAAAATCATTGTAACATTCAATTTTATAGAAATCTTTAATAATAAGAAATAGAAATAAAAACGAAATACATGTTTTGTCTTCTGTAGTTTATACTGTGAACTATTTTTCTCATCAAAATATGTTTTATTTCACTCATTAAAAAACGAAATATACCAACAAATTACACATAACAAAATGAAAAGTTTTGCTTAAATTTATTTGTGAAAAAAATAAAGAGTCAATCTATATCCATGTTTTAGTAAATGGTGTGTAGAATTTGTTGGAAAAAGAATGAATTTTTTTAAGAGTATATTGATGGATTTTTTTTATTTTTTTTTTAAAAAAAAGCAAAACCTTAAGCTAAAAGATAGGGTAAATTACATCGGTAGTCCTTACACTTTGCCTCTTGTGCCTCACATTTCAATTGACTCAATTTTGACCTTTAATTTTGAATTTTGTGTCAATTTAATTCAATTGGCAATTAAAATTATGGGGAACAAAATGATACAAGAGTCCATGCATAAGAATTACTGGTGCAATTTATCATAAAAAGTAAAAAAAAAAAATTTAAAAATGTGCATGTGCCACTCTTGTCCATTTAGATACAACCATAATAGCTGTGAATTTACTAAATTTACATGCTTGTGCGTTTAGGTTGCTTGTTGATCACACATCTTCATTTTTTATTTTAATCTGTGATTAATTTTTGTTGTGAGTAAGCCTGATTGCACTGGCCTAGCTTGGAGTAGAAAGCATGGAAGCTGAAGATATGGATTCAAAGATGTTTGCTGGTTTGAAGATTGAAGAGTTTTAATTTGAATAAAATTGTTGTAGTTTCATTTAATGCTTTTACATTATGAGTTTTATCTATAAATATGTTATGCAGTTCAGTATTCTAAGTGTGTGAGTTGAGTAAAAGAATAAGAGAGTTAGAAACTGTGAGTGTTTGAGAGAGAAAGACAATTTCTCCTTGTATGTGTTCTAAATTATTTGAATGAAATAAATCTGTTTTTCAAATTATATAAATTCTCTCCCTCGAATTTGTTTGTAAACCACTGTATAACTGGTTTCGTACCCACTCCCACCAATAATTTTGGAGTGGTGGTGCCGGATGTAGTGGGAAGTGTAGGAAGTAACTATGAAGATCTCAAAGATTGCTGTGGCAAGTTCAAATGTGTTCCTCTCAGAGAAAATCTCTGCCCAGCCAACCGCTGGGACCATTTCAATGTCATGTACCGTGATAAACTTGTCATTGTCAGGTGTCCTGGAAATTGCCACCACACAAACCCCTGGGCTATTATTGTTCTCTTCTTGTGTTGCTTTTAATTCATTTATGTTCCTACATTGAAAGTTTGTTTTAGTTTAATAATCATGTAATAAAAAGAAAAAACCCCTCTACATGTAGGATGGTTAGAAAATAAGTGCTCATTTGGTTATCATTCTAGGCAAAAAAATCACAAAAGAATAAAAAAAAATTCAAAAAATCACAAAAGGACAAAAAAAAAATAATTTGCCATTTCAAAGTCAAAAAGTCCAAACAAGAAAATCAAACAATCAAAAAACTCTCAAGTTAAAATAGTCAAAAAAAATCAAAAAATTAATTAAAAAAACATTTTCAAACAAAAAACTCTCAAGTTAAAATAGTAAAAAAAAAATAAAAAACTTCATTTAAAAACATTGCCAAACGACCCCTAAATGGTTCTTCTTTTAGAATGAACAAGCTTATTAGTTTCTGTTTAATATTAGTGAAATTTTTATTTATTGTTTAGCTTTGATGATGCAGTTCGTTCCAAGTGGAACGGGTTGGACCAATCCACGCTCCTCAAGCCTATGTCCAGATGACCAAGCCCACCAGAAAACCTGCACAAGAGTTCAACGGGGAACAGGGAGTCCCCCAGCAAACCCTTCGACGAGCAAGTTAGAGAGAGAAGTGGAATGTGTGGATAGATTAGAGATAGAAAAGCTTAACCTTCTTCTTGTCTTCGACGTCTGCTTATATTCTTTGGTAATCATTACGTTGTCCCTTCCGACCTGTCACCTTGGCCAAAAATTTATGTTCTAGCTTACCTTGCTCAGGGTGAAGGCGTTCTGTCCCAACGGAGAGGGGTTATCACAATAAATGTTGTAAGGGGCCTCATTAATGGCGATGTGCCGTGACAATAACTTTGCAGATCTTTGTTTGCCGAGGTGGCTTGCCCCTCTCTTGCCATGTGTGTTGATGCCATTGGTTCTTATTACTTCATGGGGCTTCAGCAGTGTTGGGCTTTAGCGTTTTTGAGTTATGTATTGAGCCCTAAATGCTGGGCTATAATCTTTATGGGCTTACCCGCGTCAGTAGTCCCCCATTCCCAAGTGTAACTTTAGTCCAACGAAAGGAATAATGAAAAAAATGAGGGCTGTGAGAGACCGGCAGGGTGAAGGCCGACCGAGAAGGGTAGCCGAGTGGAGGGACCGACCACGAGGAGGGCCAACCGCGAAGGGTAGCCGAGTGGATGGACCGACTATGAGGAAGGCCGACAGCGAAGGGTGACTGAATGGAGGGATCGACCATGAGGAGGGCCGATCGCGAAGGGTGGCCGAGTGGAGGGACCGACCATGAGGTGGGCCGACCGCGAAGGGTGGCCGAGTGGAGGGACCGACCATGAGGTGGGCCGACCGCGAAGGGTGGCCGAGTGGAGGGACCGACCATGAGGATGGCCAACCGCGAAGGGTAGGTGGGTGGTAAGGCACGGGGCTTGAGAAGCGGCGGGATACGTGTTGAAGTGAAGTGGAATAGACAGGGAAGGGGAAAGGGGCAGTGGATCGTGGTCGTACATGTGGCAGAATCTCGTAATGGGGGAGGTTAGGCATTGGGCAATAAGTGAAACGATAGGTCATCATAGGGTATTGAAAAGACAGCTTTTGGCGAATTTTTGAAAATTTTCAAACTGGCGAAATTCAATTGTGACCCTTGGAATACGGGCAAGCCTTGGGCCTTTGGTATTATTCGCTTTACCTACCTTTTTGCAAAAAATCAAAACATTCCAAGTGCAAACTCCTTCGTTGCTAGCGATACACCACTGCAATACTTTGTGAATCATCTTGCACCAGCGTCTGAAGTTATCCGCAGACACACGAGAGAGATAGCCCAAGAGGAAGCAAGGGTTGATCCATTGGGTGATGATGATGTGGTAGATTTGGCGGAGCAATACAGGACGGAGAGGCAAGTGGGGAGTGGGGGGGAGCCGGCGGGGCGACCTCGTTCGTCCACAATGATAGCGGCCCCGAAGCCAATCAGCTAGGTTGAGTCAGGGTGGAGGGTGGGGCGACTGGCCCTGAAGAACGAGTGGAGGTTGGTGTGTCTGACCCTGTGGAGGGGATGGAGCAGCAACCCCAGGGTGCTCCTGCGCCTAGGGCTGCAAACGAACCGAGCTGTTCATGAACAAGCTCGAGTTCGGCTCGTTAAGGCTTGTTCGAACTCGACTCAATTAATAAACGAGCCGAGCTCGAACTTAAATTTTAAGCTCGTTTAACAAACAAGCTGAGCCCGAGCTCAATAATACTCGGTTTGATAGGCTCGCGAGCTCAAACATATATATATATATTATACAATATGTATATATTTATATAATATATAAATAAATATAAATATAATTAATAAAATATTAAACTTACAATTTTTTTTCTATTATATATGTGTCCATATATATATATATATATTGTAACTTCAACTTTGGAATCATTTGTTTCAGCTTTAGTTGACTGGAGAAGCAATGGGCCACCACGTGGGACTTTTATAAGCATTCACCTTTGAGCATACTTTTGTCATGGACCGATGTGGGACTCTTTTGTGCAATTCCTCACAGCAACAAAACGGCGTCGTTTTGCTGTATCATGTTTCAAACAATCTATCCCACATCGTTTACACAATGTTGTTCAAGGCAAATTGATATCTATTTATGTTATGTGTAGTAGTAGGCTGGCTTGAAGTCTTGTTTCAAGTGTTCCATGAGTTTCACTTGGCTAACGAGCCATAACGAGCCGAGCTCGAGTTAGAAAAATTTTATGCGAGCCAAGCTCGAACATCTTGAAAATAAATCGAGCCGAGCTCGAACAATGATAAACTCGACTCGGCTCAGCTCGATTACACCCCTAGGCACAAGCCTCATAAACCTCATGAAACAGTGATTCCTAACTCCACAGACCTATGATACATGCACTCAATAGATCCACTTCAAATTATCCAAAATAAGATAGTCAAACCATGTATCTGATCTTAGTAAAAAAATAAAAACAAAGAAAAAGCCTCTAATTTCAGTTGAAAAAATAATTTATGAGGGCTTAATATGTGAAGAACCCGCCAAAAGCATCTAGTTCATTGATACTACAACGCCATTCATAGATTGACTACAATGTACAATCTAAAATATGTTATGTTGCCCAATAAAATAATTTACCTGAGATTGAGTTAGCTTTTGAACAATAGTATCATTCCCAACTCTCATTTTGCGAGTTGATAAAGCTAGCTTTAATTCAGCAACAGTACACTCAATCAAATTAGCAACAGTGGTTAGACCTGAAATTTGAAAAACCCGAACTTAGGAGAATTCATAGAAAGTTCAAGAAGCAATGAAAATAAACATGTATATATTATAAAACATATTATGTGCTCTTCATGACTGTAGTGCATTAGATTGATAAGTAGAACTCATTTACATGATTTTTACATTTGGTGGCTTACCAAAAGAGGAAAAACAGACAGAATAAGTGATGGATAGAGAACGCCTCTTATGAGTAGTGGAAGACGCAGCCGTGCGCTCGGTGGAGAGTTTTACTGAGGCTGAGCTGCTGAGGGGGTTGTGTTCTGCCCAAATAGAGGCGACCTCCTTAGCGGGACCCCTTCTAAGAAAGGCGGCAGCTGTAAAAGGTGAAGTAAGGCCGTTGGTGGCAAAGTTGGAGGGGGTGGAGGCCCAACTTGAGAACTTAAGGAGGGAGACTGCAGGGTGGCGAAAGGCCACGCGGAGTGCGTATGCTAAGGGGTTGGAAGAGGCTCAGAAAGCAAAGAAAATGGAGGCGCTAGCGATGGTGCAGAGCAACATTGCCGATCGTGCCCATTCTGAGTTGGTCGCAGCCAAGTTGGAGCTGGAGGACGAACGCTGCAAGGTGGTGTCGCTCGAGTTCCAGCTGGCTTGCGAGTGGAAGAAGCTGGAAGACGCTCAAAATGCCTGCACTGTCGCCAACGAGTGGTAAAAGGAGGCCATGTCCATCAACGAAGATCTTCGCGCTCAGTCGATCAAAGAGAAAGTAGAGTTGGATGGGAAGATTGCTGAGCTGGAGAGAACGTTGGCAGACGAGCGGGCCAAGTCAATAGAGGAGAAGGCAGGGTTGGAGAAGGAGTTGGAGGAAGAGAAGACCAAGTCAGCAGGGTTGCAGAAGGAGTTGGAGGAAGAGAAGGCCAAGTCAGCAGGGTTGGAGAAGGAGTTGGAGGAAGAGAAAACCAGGTCAGCCTCTGAGAGGATAGCATACCCCGATTTGTGCGTCGCAACAGTGGAGCAGTTCAAGGGGTCTGTTGACTTTCAGATGGCTATTGATGCTGTGATCGCTAGCAACTTGGCGAGAAAGAGGGTTGGGGGGGCTGGCCCGTCGGGAGCGATCGCTGGGGGCAGGAGTGAAGAAGAAGTGATCCAGAGCTTCCAGTGGTCGGACTTCTACAAACACGAAATAGCTGAGTTCTGGGACAGCGGGTTGAAGATGTTCAAGCGTAAAGTGGAAGAGCTGTTCCCAGACTTAGACTTTAGCAGTGCCAAGATTGACGACGACGACATGGCCCAGACCCCCCTAGACGAGGGCGTTGAAGAAGAAGACCTCGTGTCAAGTGAGGAGGAATGATGGAAGTGGACAAAATTTGTACTTAGAGTTTTGTTGTTTTTCTTTTTGTTGTTGTTGTTGTTGTTGTTGTTTTTTTTTTGAATTGCTGTAATAAACTTGTGTATAAGTTTGTGAATGAATAAAATTATAAGGTTGTGTTTGTCACACTGCTG